GGTGATGGGTTATTTTTTTTAACTTTAATCACATCAAGGGATTTCCCCTCATAGAGCTGTAGAGGATTTTAAAGGAATAAACTCCATAATGGATGTTAGAGCTCCACAGTTAGAAAAGGGAAGAATATATATATATATATATATATATATATATATATATATATATATGTGTGTGTGTGTGTGTGTGTGTGTGTGTGTGTGTGTGTGTGTGTGTGTGTGTGTTACAAATGGAAAGTGTTTTAATTCAACCTTCTTTGGTTTTATTGTGAACAGAAAGACAAAGAAGTTGAAAGAAAAGAAAATTCCAGATTTCCATTTCACAAGCGTAAACGCACACGTACAAGCGTAGACATGTGTACACATGCCCATACACGTGCACACACGAATGCACACGTTTACACTCACACATATTGAAAAACGAGCAATAAACACACACATTGGAATCTTCTGAACATATTTTTGAAAGGTGTTTCTGGGCTTCACCTCTGCCACTCACTTCCTATTTTATTCTCGTATGATCTCCGAAGTTAAGCAACGTTGAATCTGCACAGTATCTACATCACTTGAGAATATCAGGTATTATAATCTTTGACGTGAAGGTGATGTAATGGATAATGCCTCGGAGTTGTTAATCGGAGAGCCGAGTTCTAATCCCCGTTAGGTTCGTTATATTCACTTAGGCGCAAATACCCTCAGGAAACGTATGAATTCACCTATTCTCTCCCCCCAATAATGGGTTAATTAGTAAAACTTGCATCACTAACCCTTTATTATCTTCAAAAATATTCTTATAATTTAAAATATTTCCTGGCTTTAAATAACCTATAAATGGTTGATAACCGTAGAAAACGAATCAATCAATTAACAATTTTTATTGATTATCAGTAAAATCTATTAAGTCGTCCATATTAACAAATCTGTCAACACAATATACTTTTCTGAAACTTTATTTACGAAAAATTAGCTTACTAATTGTATTAATCTAAATTTAAAACAAATATTAGTTATTTTTGTTTAAAATATCACAGAAAAGGTTTATGAACACAATGGTGGGTGTTTTTATGAGGTGTCAACAGTTTTTTTGACATCCTGATGTTTAATAAATTTAAATAAGGAAGAGATCATTGTAATAAAATTGCATGAGGCATACAATGTAAATGCTTTTTTAGATATTTCTTAACAACCCAATAATCTTAAAAATGTAAAATATTTAAGCATTCTACTATTTTATTGAATTTTAAGTACATTGTTTAAAAAGCCAATGTACTTACTTATGAAGATGCCTGTTGAGGAAAATGTTAGAAAATTAGAAATAAATTGTAAAATTACTATGGCTCTTATTTTCTGATAATGATGTGTATGGACATCCATATCTTAAAAAGTCGTCATCTTTATACACGCAAAAATAATTCAAAATTCTTTTTAAAATACTTGGGTTCGTCGAATTGTAGTGAGCTTTTCCAATGATGATTAATAAATACAGTTTTAATTTAATAACAATATCACTTGACGGCTACAAATTAATATAGAATTTTAAAAGATTTAAAAGTTTATAAATTATTCCAATTAAGGACGTAAAACTGATTCAGCAAGTATTCCAGAAACTGCATGATTACGGTTTCAAACTCAGTGAACAGAAATATCAATTTTTTATGGATAAAATCAAATATTTAGATCAGATAATCGACGAAAAAGGAAGACCAGATCCCGCTAAAGCAAGTGTCATTAAAGACATGCCTCCCACGACAAATTCGTTGTCCTTACAATCATTTCTCGCATTAGCAAATCATTATAATATTTCTGACATGCATCAACAGATAATAGTAACGTCGGAGGCGAGCGAATACGGTATAGAAGAGCTAATAGGCCGGTAATGTGAAAGTAGTCGCCTACGTTTCAAGAAGTTTGAAAAATATGGAAAAATGCTACAGCAAAATTGAAAAGTAAGAGCTTGCAATAATTTTTGTTGCAAAGAAATCTCACAGGATTATATTAGGAAGAAAATTCCTACTGCAAACTGATCATCGTCCATTATTAAGTATATTCACTTCTAAGAAAGGGATTTCCACGCATACTGCAAGCAGACGACAGCGTTATTCTACAATTTTACTGAACTATAATTTCTAGATTGAATTTCTATCGTCAAAAAAATTGGGGTATGCAGATGGATTGTCCAGATTGATATCGAACTGTAAAGAAGATTTTGAAGATGCTGTCATTGCTTCGCTAGAATCCTAAAAAAAAACTTGGCGTATAATACTTTTAAAGAATTGCAGGTCACGATAGATGATATCAAAATCTTTCTAAAAAGTATACGTTCATTCAAAAAACTATGAATGACGTTAAGTCGAAATGGAGTAAAACTAAAATTAAACCGGGTAACAATAATACAGCATTTTCTATTTGTAATGAAGTACTTTTGTTTTATTAATTAGAAAATGTAATTGTAATTTAGCAGCAAAATCTCTACAGGAAAGATAACGGCTATTTCTATATTTGAAGAGGTCAGGATTGTTGTGACTGTGAAAACAAGCGAATGAACTTACTTTAGAAGGAACTGCAAAAACCAATCCTAAACAGGAAACAAACAATGAACTTCTACTTCTGTTTCAATATATATATATATATGTATGTGTGTGTGTGTGTGTGTGTGTGTGTGTGTGTGTGTGTGTGTGTGTGTCGAAGTCTTGTTACCCTGTCTAAAAAAAGTTATTTTGTATGACAAATGAATTAATTGATTGACAGGTTTGTTTTTGTCTATATTTCTGAGATGAGGTATTATGTACACTATTTACATTATCGGGACATACCGTTCTAGTTGCACGTGCCATGTTTAATGGACGTCAGTTATCAGTTATGTCCTGTTAATTCCCCTCCCCAAGTTCTCCACTGCCTTAACCGGGTATTGAGCTCACACTCTTTTGGGTCTTGCCACTGGATCTTACCAACGCCTTTATCCATTGTGCCAAATAAATAAAGGGTTCAGTTCGACATTCCAACCACCTGAAGAAGGCCAGAGAGTACAACGGCCAAAACGTTGTGATAAATATGGCGACAAAGATGAGGACAATAGTAAATAGTATAGGTTTTTTTTTTCTGAAATCTCACATGTTTCTGTTGTATGTCGAATTCGGCAACCTTTCAGAATTTTTAAGCAAACCCCTTTATTAATGCAGCTGAGTTATTCGCAAACTTCTACCTGTCATATTATTCTAAGTTAATTTCATAGTTTATTACAGTCACTTCTTCCTTATGATACCTATATACTGCTTCATTGAGCAGCCTCAGCCAGGAATTGAACTCACGATTTCCAGTGAGCCAAATGTAAGTTTACCAGTTAGGCTTAATTCTTCTTCTTTATATTACTTTTTTCTCTCTTCACTAAACCAATGTATATATCTGCATTACCTGACCCCAGGGACTGAATTCAAAAAAACAAAGTTACGATATGAGCTTTACCAATTTTTTCTAGATCTTTTTCCTGGTACCAATCTGTTGTTCCAATGAACCAATATGTATATTTCTGTACTGCCTGACTTAGGAATTAAACTCACGATTTTGCAATATCTGTATGACATTCAAACGGTGTTTGTTTTTTAATCCTTTAGTAAATATCTTTCAGCAAGCTGTATTGCAAAGTTAGCGTAGAATGCGCAAGCTCTGCTCACCCGGATATATGTGGTTGAATATAAACAAAATAGGTCCGTTTTTGCCTCTTTCCGAAAATCAAGAAGACAAACTAATTATAGTTGACCTATGACCCCGTCAAAAAAGAACAAAACTTCTTGTGCATTCACCTGTTTCGATTACTGCCCACGGAAACATGTATTGCCTAGGGATAAAAAAAAATCAATATTTCACAAAAAAAATAAAATAAAATAAAAAAAAAAAACAGAAAGAAAATAATGCCTCCATCTGTTTGTCGCCATTACAAGATTATAATCTTTAGCAGCTTTGCTTCGTTGCCTGGCAAAACTTTTTATTCATTTATTACCAAGTTGAAAAGTGTTTTTGTTTTGTTTTGTTTTTTTGTTTTTTTTTTTTTGTAAGCCAAAAACCTGTTACGATTCATGGCTAATGTTCATTAAAACTTAGAACGAACAAATCAGAGAAATGTCGGGAAAAGAAAGGGTAGGATAAAGCAGGGCACAAAGTAACACGGAATGCAAGAAAGACGCGGATTTAGGGGTGAAATTATTATTTCACTCCGCAATAAGATCTTGTGTCATTTTCTTTAAAGTATTACTGACCTTTTTTCGCCTCATCGCTTAATTATCAGCGAACAACAAACGCAAAGAGAAGAATATCTAAAATCGATGCAGGTGAATAGAATTTGACTTATTTTGTGGATTATGTATTCTCGTAAGACAGATTTGCCGCAGTTTAAACTTTTTTTCATATTATCATTGTAGTCTTATAGACAGACTACAAGATGAGATGAGGTATTATGTATATTATTTACATTATTCGGACTATTGTCCTCATCTTTGTCGCCATATTTATCACAACGTTTCGGCCGTTGTACGCCCCGGCCTTCTTCAGGTGGTTGGAATTTCGAACTGAATCCTTTATTTCGCTCACTAGGGTAGACTGTTCTAGTTCCACGTGCCATGTTTGATGGATGTCAGTTATTAGTTATCTCCTGCTAATTTCCCTCTGAAAGTTCTCCACTGCCTTAACCTTGAGGACACATGGCACAGTGGATAAAGTGCTGGGGTAAAAAACAATATTTTATAATGTTCATTTTCTTTCACGTCAATTCCTTGAATTAAAATGACATCCAGAACAGTTCCTCATTGTATTCACTTAACTCTAATGTTCATACACAGCCTAAATAACCGTATCTGTCTTTGGTCGGCATGTTAATTTGAAAAAAAGGTGCCACGCTTTACTTTAATCCAAAACCACTACTTTCGATCAGAGTTATTATTCAATTTCTATAGCTATAAACTGTCTCCAATATTGGTATTGATATGTTTCCCGTATAAATATAACAGATTTTAAAAGATAGATAGATAGATAGATAGATAGATAGATAGATAGATAGATAGATATCGTATTTCCGGCTATATAAGGCATACTCATTTTTAAAATAATCCTGCATCTTATGGCTTGTTTACCGGAACGAAAATAAAGATACCTGCTTAATACACAAGTCCACCGATGATCCCAGAAATATATATGATTATATATTATCAAATTTTCCAAGCCCTCTTTCATTACATGACCTAGAAATTTAAACAGTCTCTTTCTGATGTTAAGTATGTGTGCCGTTTTTCCTTCTATTTGTAGGAAATCCAATCAAGAAAAATGTCAGTCGTCTCCTTAAAGTGCATGAAAGAAAATAAAACATGTTGAACTGGAATTACAATTCAATATGTTTTACAAATCAATAGTTCAAAAAAGCCTTCACGATGACTAAGTGCAAACATGCAGATTAGTCTTGTAGAATGCACGATTTGATTTACATAAAGATAGGTTATGGGTAACTTGGGAACTTGATACAGCAGAATTGCAATAAAGATGATCTTGCCAGGTAAAGTTTTATGGGAATCCCATGTCCATAAAACCATAGATTTTATAAGGTATACCTAATGATCAATTACCATTTTCTCCTTTTCAATTTGGTCATCCACAGGACGAACCTTTTCAAGGTATTTGAAATGCAATTCCAAAAGTCATTGAACCTGTAAAAAGAATTTTCCAATTAGAAATCCAGAAAACAATCAATTGGTAACATTCTACAAAATAATGATAATAGTAATTAAGAAAACATTATTAGGATTTTGATTCTCTTTCCAAAAATTAAAACAATATTTCCATAAGTAAATGCTTTGAATTCATCATAGTTTCCATTTTAGAGAAAAGTAATTCACAGAATAAATCAATTTTATTTTTTGTAAACTTTACTAAATCTAAATTGAAGTTAAGTGCTCATCTAATTTATATGCATGTCTTTGTTTAAATTTTGTTCAAGTCTTAAGAAAAATAAATAAAAATAAAACGTCGTTGCTTACATCTTCTGCCTATGGTATTCTCAGCATCCTTCTGTAGAACCACATTTCTATTGCTTCAAGTCTCTTTTTCATCTATGAGGAGTTTCAGCAGCATTCATTGCCATATAGGAGGACTGTGTTACGTAACAGTTCAGTACGCTTTGCTTTATTTCTAAAGAGATTTTCTTGTTTCTTAATACTTTGCTTAAATTTTGAAAGGCATCTTTCACTATCCCAATGCGAATCCAAATCATCGGAAAATAATCATTCCACGAGCTACTTGGACTAGTTTATTCATCTCTGTTGCTTATATCATAACATTTGGGGTGTTATAGGGCGATTTTCTCCCCAAAAAATATCAAATCTATTTTTAAGTGTGAAATTGAAAGAAATTGTTTATTTATAGTAATATTGGATGGGTAAAGTAAAATGGCAGTAGAGGAGTTACACAAAATGTTATTTTGGCTGCCTAAAGCAATTAAGCTCGGTGGAGGAAAAGTTCATAAGAAAATGAGGACTTACTGCAGTAGTAGAAGTTGTACAAAATCCTTGGTGAAGAGTGTAATGTGTTAGAAGAAGTTATAAAAGTCTTTGGCAGTGAAGGTAAGGTGTCAGCAGACGTTATAAATATCTTTGTTAGAGGATGTATGGTATCAGAAAGCATTATAAAAGTCCTTGTCAGAGGGTGTAAGTTGTCAGTAGAAGTTATAAAAATACTTCATAGTGAGTGTAAGGCGTCAGCAGAACTTATAAAGGTCCTTGATAGACAGTGTAAATTATCATCAGATGTTATAAAAGTCATTGTTACAGAGTGTAAGTTGTTAATAGAAGTTATAAAATCCTTGGTAGAAAGTGTAAGTTATCAGCAGATGTTATAAAAGTCATTCATAGAGAGTGTAAGTTTTTAGTAGAAGTTATAAAATCCTTGGTTTTAGTCAGCAGATGTTATAAAAGTCATTCATAGAGAGTGTAAGTTTTTAGTAGAAGTTATAAAATCCTTGGTAGAGAATGTAAGGTGTCAGCAGAAGTTCACGAAGTTCTATCAAATTTTATTGGTCCATTCAGGGGTTAAGTGTCCGTTTGATGAATGGAATGAGTTGTAGGTTGATTGTTATTTGTGGAAAACTTTCTGAAATGGGTACTACCTTGTTGGATTATAAATAAACAGTGAACTGTTTTCGTATTATTTAGAAAGACTTGGTTTAATAGCGTGTTTGTGTAGATAACTATGTTCAAATCTATGTTTTTAAATTTTTGTGTGTTGTGCCAGAGTTCTTTGCGTGTCACGGGGTATGAGAGAATCCGGCGTCATCTTTTCTCAACTCACTGCTAAAGTAAATTGATCTGCTGACCTCATTTCTCCTGACTAATCAGATGCGAACAGAACCGTAACGAATAGCAATTTACCTCAGTCGCTGGCATTTTGTATATTGTGCTCGACCCTTCACTAAGCTACTTTTAAAAACTGTCTTAGGGTTCAAATTCCGTCCTTCTGATTGGTTGA